GATGAACTGCATACAGAGCCTTAACATTGGTGTTGTTCATTTGATCAGTTGAGCTTGTTTTGCACCACAGACAACGATGCATGATGCTCATTAGTTTTTCGTAGTCTCTTTTGAGCAGGTTCTTCTTCATGTAGAGTTTATCTACTCCGGTAGCATCTGGCCGGCAATAGGTGTCCACAAACGTCTGCACAGAGACATCGACTGACTCCAGGTCGATGAGAGTGGGAGTATCTTCATCTTGTGAATCGAGTTCGATGTTGAAGAACTCGTTGAGGGCATCAGCATCGATTTTCAGGCTTTTCCCTTGCACCTGAGAATGGATGGCGTCGCCGGTGATGTAGGCGTTGGGGTAGAACTCAGCCACATCAAGGGTACTGAACTGCTCATAAGGATGAGCCACAATCTTTGTTAGCTGGGAATCATTCATTCCTGCAATGACCGCCTTCATTGTTTTCTGGTTTTCTGCCAACAGAGGTAGTGAGGACATGTCAACCTTCATTCCGGTGGCAATGTTAGCCACAAGTGCCTTGGCTTCCGATTCTGAGAGGTCGGAGATGTTAATGAATTTCATTTTCAGGTTCTTGGAGAGATTTGAGAGGTTTGAAGGTTTGGAAGTTTAGAGAGATAAAGCTTGAGGACGAAGGTAAAATTGCAGTAGCGATTTAGGTTTTAGAATGAGTATATATGAATTTGGGTTAGTGGACGTTTGATATAATTTGCGGTTTCGAGGTCGTATTAAATGGATTGTGGGCGGAAAGCCGTTTTCCAAAAGTGATAATAACTACCAGGGGTAAAATTGTAACTTCCGGTTTATTGAACAGTCTCGTCCGAAATTTAGACAATTTTGCTAAGTCCACAGCCCGTCTGATGAATATTAGCCCTTGTATCAGAGAAGGGGTACTCTGATACAGGGTCCGCTGATGGATAAGTGTATCAGAGGTGGGGAAATCTGATGGATCTACATCTGACGCTTCTGCAACCCTGATTCAAGCTTCTGATGGATAAGAGCTCAGGTACCAGAGATGGGGTGTTCTGATGACTCCACAACTGGCACTTCTGCAACTCTGATTCATGTACCCTGGGGAAGATCATCCATCATTCCCAATTCTTCTCTTAACTTGTTAAACCTTGCCTCTGAGAGAGGTTTGGTTAGAATATCTGCAAGCTGATCTTCAGTTGGAACATGCTCAATTGAAATGTGTTTCTTCTCCACATGATCTCTGATGAAGTGATGTCTGATCTCAATGTGCTTGGTCCTTGAATGCAGCACCGGATTCTGAGTGATGGCAATAGCACTTGTATTGTCACACAGCAGCTTGATCTCCTTAGCTTGCACACCATAATCCTTGAGTTGTTGCTTCATCCAGAGTAATTGAGCACAGCAACTCCCAGCAGCAATATACTCAGCTTCAGCAGTGCTAGTTGAGATTGAATTCTGTTTCTTGCTAAACCAGGAGACAAGTCTCCCACCTAGCAATTGACAATGACCAGAGGTGCTCTTCCTGTCCAATTTACAACCTGCAAAATCTGAGTCAGAATACCCAATTAGTTCAAAATTACCTCCCTTAGGATACCATAGGCCTGCATTTGGATTTCCTTTGATATATCTGATAATCTTCTTAGCAGCAACTAGATGGCTCTCCTTGGGCTTTGATTGGTATCTGGCACAGATTCCTACTGCAAAAGCTATGTCTGGTCTGCTTGCAGTTAGATAGAGGAGAGATCCAATGATTCCTCTATATGTAGTGGCATCTACATCTTTTCCTTCATCATCAGGTCCAATTCCTTGAGATGCATTCATAGGAATTTTGACTGAAGTTTTTCCATCAATTCCAAACTTCTTGATGAGTTCTCTGGTGTACTTCCCTTGGTTGATAAAGATGCCTTCTGAAACTTGTTTGACTTGCAAACCAAGGAAATAACTTAGTTCTCCATCATGCTCATTTCAAACTTGTTCTGCATAACTTGAGAGAATTTCTTGCATAATTCTGGATTAGTGCTTCCAAATATAATGTCATCAACATAAATTTGCACTAATAGAATATGATTAGCAACAGTAATCTGAAATAGAGTCTTGTCAACCTTTCTTTTAGTAAACCCATGGTTCACTAAGAATAGGGACAATGTGTCATACCAAGCTCTGGGTGCTTGCTTAAGACCATAAAGGGCCTTTCTGAGCTTGTAGACACAAGAAGATTGAGTAGGAATGACAAAACCTGGAGGTTGTTCAACATAGACTTCCTCTTCAAGTTCTCCATTCAGGAATGCACTCTTGACATCCATCTGGTAGACTTTGATGTCATTGTAGGCAGCATAGGCTAGGAATATCCTGATTGCTTCCAGTCTGGCAACAGGTGCAAAGGTCTCATCAAAATCTATGCCTTCTTCTTGACAGTATCCCTTTGCTACAAGCCTTGCTTTATTCCTTACAATGTTGCCTTCTTCATCTTCTTTGTTCTTGAATACCCATTTGGTTCCAATGACATTCTGATGCTTTGGTCGAGGAACAAGTTTCCATACTTCATTCCTTTCAAACTGTGTCAGCTCTTCTTGCATTGCATCTCAAACTCATAAGCCTTGAGATCAGAAATGAGTTTCTCAGTGGCATAGGTCTTGATGTTCTTGCTTTCCTGGACTGCAATCACCTTCGTCTTCCAAGCTGAAGGCAGTCCCCTGAGGATCTTCATGTTGACCTCTTTGATGGTGAGCTCCTTCCCAAGCTCAGAAATTTCACTGATGAGAATCAGCAGTCTCTCATGCATCTTAGCAATGCATTCTTCTGGCAGAAGTTTGAAGTTATCAAACTTCTTCATTGCAATGGTCAGCTTGTTATCTCTTTCTTGCTCATCTCCTGCTCCAATCTCATCCAGCTTATCCCAGATTTCTTTGGCAGTTTTGCACTTCCTGATTCTGTTAAAGTACCTTTCATCAATAGCCTTATAGAGAATGTCCTTGGCTATGTTGTCGAGGTTGTACTGTCTCTTTTCTTCCTTGGTCCATTCAGACCTGGCCTTCTCAATCATCTGGGGCTGAGAGTTATCAGTAGAGTGAGCAGGATTGATCTTCATGAACTGAATAAAGGGGCCACTCTCCAAGACTTCCCACATTTCATCATGAAGAGCACATAGGTGTGCCTTCATTCTGATCTTCCAATCATCATACTTCTGATCTGTGAACATAAGATGCTTTGCAAGAGAGTTATCCATTATAATCAACAAAGAGGCTAGATACAAGTGGATCTTTGTTCAGAGGGTAACCTAAAAGATTACAAGAACAAGGAGGCTCTGATACCACTTGTTGGTCCCGTTTGAGTTGGTAATCAGTCTAGAGGGGGGGGGGGGTGAATAGACTGATTGGAGTTTTTCAACTTTTCTCTAAGTCAGAGTTGACTTGTCAGAGATGGTCGAGTTCCGATGATCAGAACTGGTCTTGCAGCGGATAAGAGTTCCGGGTAGCCTCAAAAATGCTAAGGCAAATGCCTTTCTGATAACTCTGAAAACAAGATCTGCTGAACACAGATTCCAAGTCTTAGAGTTAAACAGTTAATGTTCTAAGTGCAGAAATATAAATTGCAGTAAAGTAAATGACACCGGATATTTTTATAGTGGTTCAAGGAACAACGCGTTCCTCTAGTCCACTGTTCCACTAGCTTTGAAGTAGATCGGTTACAAAGCTAATCCCTAGCACTTAAGAAGCACTCCTCGTCTTCTTCAAGTCTAGATGCCACCCAGGATGCAAATCCACGTCCTGATGGCTGGTCCTTTAACTCAGCTTCCCGGAAGTATCACCACTTCACTACTGCAGTTACTTGGACCCCCTTCTTTTCAGAAGATCCTTTGAAAAACACAAAGTTTTTCCTCCAACTTGCTTCGTTACAAAAGATGTTTGATGAGGATCTTGAAGTGTTGAAGAACAGGATGAACTTTGCTCTTGTTGGGGATGAGAGATTGTGAGGTTGAATCTTCCCAACGTAAGCTTTTTCTTGTTTTTGTGTTGTGGAGTTTGAATCTCAAGAATGCTTGTAGTATGAAGTTCAGAGCAAAAGTTGTAGCAAAGTTCTGCAAAAAGTGTTACCGTCCTGTTCTTCGGTTTGTAGCTTATATACTGGGGTTGTCTGCCCGTTGGAGGAGGAGACAACTGCATTGAATGCGCGTACAGTTGACTTGACCCACTAATTTGGAAGCTTTCTATTTTTATAATATATCTTCCAGATATCTCGGTCAATCATTTGTAATAAATCCAAAGCGTATCAGGCTCATTTAATGTGCATTTAAGAGCTTTCCTTTCATGCACAATCTTCTAGCCGTTGATGAATTTCCCAGCCGTTGGAAGTAGCTTTGAAATTCTTCTAAGTGTTAGTCGGACTCTGATCGGAGTCTTCTGATACGTTGGATTCTGATGGCTTTCTGAAGAGTAGCTCTGATGTGGCTTCAAGTCGAGCTCTGGTGTGCGAGTTCTGATGCTTGTCAGATGTTGAGTTCTGATGAAGCTATACACCGAACTCTGATGCTTCTCTGATGATCAACTCTCATGAACTGCTGAGAGTAACTCTGATCGGATCCACAAGCGAGCAACTCTGATTGTCGACTACACTAATACTTACATCAGAAAATACTAATACATGAAATCTAATTTGGGGGTACTATAAAATTCTAATCTAAACATCCTAGCATCATCAAAATCTAATTACATTTATTCCTTACAATACCTATGAGTGTATAGGACTCCTCCTTGTCCCTATTTCAATATCATAATCTATGAGTTTTGAGGATCATAATCCTTGGGTACTCCACCGATATATTTTCGAGTGTTAAGGACTTTTAGTCCTAAGGTCCTCCACCAATTTATTATTCGAGTGTTAAGGACTTTAAGTCCTAGGGTCCTCCACCAAAATATGAGTGTTAAGGACTTGTAAGTCCTAGGGTCCTCCACCAAAATATGAGTGTTAAGGACTTGTAAGTCCTAGGGTCCTCCACCAAAATATGAGTGTTAAGGACTTTTGTGACACCCCGAAAATTTAAATAAAATAAATAAATTTATTAGTCAGATAGAATGTTACGAAAGTCACATTTTAATAATTAAGCGAATGAGATAAAATTTTAACATCGGTGACATTTTTTTAATAAGATAAAAATGTTTCAATAAAAAAGTGACATTTTTACAATAATTATGTTGACCAGAAAAGACCTTGACTTAAATAACGAAAGTTACATTTTTTTTGTAACAAGTGATACATTATACTTATGATATAAATAAATAAAAATGTCATTTTAACAATTGTAATTCAAAACTATCTGTTAATAATAGGTGTTCAAAAATAAAAATGAGTTGGCTTTTCAAAAAAAATATACTTTCGTACATGCATGCTCATAGATAAATATATACATAATAATAAAAGAATTGATAATATACAAATGTAAATGTAGTACGTACTACATGTGACCTGCCTACGATTGTGATATACTACTACACAATAATATAGGTATCATGTATCTTATTTCATACAATGAATCTGGAGAGTGCGAGTATACATATTCATTATTCACATAGGGCCTGATACACATACGAACAACCAACAATGATAGATCACTAATCGGAAGAGGCCAAAGATATACAAATGATAAAGGAAGCTAGCTACGTGTACATGTGTGCACCAAGAGAAAACCAACAATTTGCACACTCATATATACATACTCATATTTACATAATCATTTATATATACATATATATTACCCTGCAAAACTATAATCAGACAACTATACTCTGCGACCTACTATCTTCGCCCAGAGGAATTCGCCAGAGAAGAGTCAGCCGTGCCCAGCACCCACGTATCATCGGAGAAGAGAATACGAAGTCGCCAGAGTCGCTGCCGGCCAAGTTGGAGTATTCCACGCCGGACTGGTTTCCCTGTTTCACGCCAGGATCCCCACCGAGACTGGCGCTAAGGCTAAGCTGTAAAGTCCAAGGAAAGAGGAACCGCCGCCGGGAAAGACTACTGAGACGCACTGTTCTTCATTACCGCCTCACTGGAGTGGAGGATCCGCTGGAACGCTGCCGTCGCCGCCAGAAGGAAAAAGGTCGTTGGCCATCTTCAGTCGCCGATGAAGCTGCGTTACGCTGATGACTCTTTCCTCAGCGTCAATACAATCGAAGAAGAGGAGCCGATGAAGTGACTGCACTGCCGGGTCATCTTCGCCGGCCTAACTTGCAGTTGACGTTGAGAGCAGAGCGTCCAGAGTAAACGATGTTGCAGCAAGCACCGCACATTCCCTGCTGTTTCGCCGCGACTGTTGCCGTTCGCCGGCAGCTGGGAGCCGATTCACCGAAGAAGACGAGTGAGTCTTCTCTGTTGTCTTTCCGTATTATGTAATACCCTTACTGTTATTAAGTTGGACCGGCTAATAGAACGGAAAGAATTACATTAGTAGGAGAAAATGATTTAAGTGGGCTTAAAATAAAATAAGCAGATAAAATAGATTGACTGTGCATAAATTTATAAATGGTTATAACTTATAAGTGGACAAGCTATAAATTATAAAATGGACTTGTTTACATAAACGGACTGGCTAATAGAAATAGACATAATTTATAAAATAGATTAAATGATGTAAAAAGGATGTTTATGGATGAACTAATTGAGTTGGGTGAATACAAGTGAGTAATCGTGAGAGAGTTCAATTTTAAACTGGATAATAGTTAGCAAAGGATTAATATAGCTATTAATTCTAGAATTTTAATATTCTAGAAGGTAACTTGGAGAAGATCAAAGTAGAAGCCCGTTTATGAATATCACGATTCGAGGTAAGTACTATGTCAACCAAGTTTCATGCTTTTCCCATATAAATTTATTTGTGACTAGTTATTTGAGATCATTTGAGTATATGATAGTTAATGAGATTTTACGTATCAATTGTGATTGTGAATTATATATATTCGAGATTTGAGTATTTTTATATTGAGTGATATTTTGAGCATTTGAATTTACATATGAATTGTTATTGGATTGAGATTTGAGATTTGAGCTATTCATGAAGTATCCTATATTTTGGACTATTTATGTAATATTTGAGTATGATGAGTTGGAGTTAATAATTTCATTGTGAATAATTTTGTGGAATTTGGATTTCATATCCATTTTGATTTATGTTATGATACTTGAAATTGAGATTGGATTATGATTTTTTGTGAGTACTCGGAGAAATGTGGATTTGGTGAGTGGTAATGACTATAAGTCTAATTCCACCAGGGATCTCCCAAAAGTGGAGCATCCCAGCTTAATTGTAGTAGTTGGTAGAAAAATCCCGACTACTCGGACTTTTTACTACCCGGAGAGCTTGGAATCTCTTTTAGGGGGTGTGCACACTTAAGGTAGGAGTTCGGCTTCCATTGGATTTGGTTGAGTTTGAATGATTGGACTTGAGATGATTTGGATTATTTGGTTGGACTTGATGGAGATGAATTGAACTACATTATATTGGATTATTTGAGTAGGTTATATTTGTTTGGATTGGATTGAATTTGATGTGGTTGAGATTATTAAATTATTTGTAGATTTTCAAAGTAATACTTATTAATTTGATTTGATATGGTTATTTTGAATATTGATTATGAGTATTTGGAAGTATTTTGAGATGAATATTTGGGCTTTACATATGATTTATGTTTTGGAATATAATTACGAGGATTTTGGTGGTTTATGTATATTGACCTTTTAAAATTATTATGATTTGGAAATATGTACCTATATTTGAAATATTATTATTTTTCATGTGATTTTGTGATGAGAAGTTTGTATAAAATGTTTCATGAGGTTTCCTCCCAAATGTTTTTACAAAATGATATATATGTATCAAACATGATTATTTTACAGGGTTGGGTGGGCCTTACTTAGCATTTCCGGCTAATTTTTGTTTCTTTGTGTTTTTCTTTCTGTACTTTATTTGTGCAGGAATTGAGGATCATGTTGAAGTTGATTTCGAGAGCTTCCGCTAGAACACATAGACTAAATTGATTGAATAATTTATTTTAGTCTTAATTTTAAAGAATTGTAGTTGAACAATTAATTTTGGAAAATCTTAATTGGTTGGTGGTGGATAGCCTGTGCACTCGGTTATATGAGAACCGAGTGTGGCGGTAACGCCCTGTTTCCCTTTGAATTTTCCGCTGCAAGACTCTGATGTTTTCGAATAAACCATTATTCAAATGTATTTTTGGGTGGGAAATTTGGGGGTGTTACAAATTGGTATCAGAGCCTTTTCTTTTCTAAAATGGGATTTTCAAACATTTTTTTCAGATCTTTTTTTTTAACTCTATTAAGTGATACCAACAAGTTGGTATCAGAGCGTTACGGTTTTCGAATGGGGATTTTTGCATAAAAGTTTTCCCGCAATGACTTCAATTTTCAAAAAGGAGTTATTAAAGTTTTCTAAAATTTTGATTTTCAAAAAAAAAAAAAAAAGGTTTTCTAAGATTTCCTAAAACTCCAAATAGTGACATCGGCCAACAAGTTGGTATAAAGATTTTGTTTTGTAAAACATATTAAAAATTTACAAGGGGTTTTCTCAAATGTTTAAAAAAAAAAAAAGTTGAAACCCGCTTTTCTAAATGTGTTTTGAAGAAGGAAAAAAAAACATAGGAATAATAATTGGACTAAGAAATAATATATATTTAGGATCGTGGTGAGAATGTGGGATTTTGAATTTTTATTTTGGTGGAATCTGTGGTTGTTTGAATTGTTTGAGTTATACTTATATGAGATATATCATTATTGACTCATTTGAGAATGAGTTTGGACTCTTAGAGGAACTTACCAAATTATGTGAGTAGTGATTTATCAGGTAAGGTAGTATAAATGTGAATGTCATTGACATACTTTGTGTCTCAACATTTCAAGTACGACAATGAAGTCAACGAAGACCAAAGTAGAAAGCAATATCACCGCACCGACAAATGCGGAGTTGGCTCAAAATATGGTTCAACTCATCCAGACTATCGGGAGTGTGTTAGTTCAGAACCAACACCAACAACGTCTCAAAAACCGCAATGATGTAGCAAAACTTGTTGCGAAGCGCAATCCCCCGTGTTATTTAGGCCAAGAAGATCCTCTCATCCTTGAGGATTGGATTCGCACTTTCGACAAACTCTTCGATGCTATAAACTGCCCTGCAGATCAACGAATTAATACGGCTGCGTACTATCTACGTCAAGAAGCAGACAATTGGTGGGCCACGACTGCCCCAACGTTGCGTCAACAACCTGACTTTTCTTGGGAGACGTTCAAGGAGGCAATGCGAAAAAGATTCTACCCAGAGCACGTGAGAGCTGAGAAGTATGAAGAATTTTTACATCTGAAGCAAGTAGGCATGACTGTCCAAGAGTACCACTCTAAATTCTTGAATCTCGCACTATTTGCTCCCACGCTAGTTCTCGATGAAATCGAGAAAACAAATAAGTTTATACGCGGTCTGAACTTTGAGACACAAAAAGCTCTTTGCATTTCAGAATGCCAAACGTTGAACGATGCCTACAACAAAGCTGGCAAGCACTATCAAGTGCAACAACTCCAGAAGAAAACACTCAAGAGAGAAAGGAAGGGCACCGAAGAAGAAAATAGACAGGGAGGCAAACGGCAAAGGCTAGATAATGCAGGGGAGACCCGAAACAGGAACAAGATCAACAACCAAGGCCAAGACCAGAAGCGTAAGAAGAAGAACTCAACTGAAGAGATGCACTTCTACTGCTCGAAGTGTGGAAAAGATCACCCTGGGAAATACTGTGACGGAACACTCGTACGATGTTTTCATTGTGACAAGCTGGGACATAGGGTGTTCGAGTGTCATTCAAGGAAGAAGGGAATCCCTCCAACTCGTGGACTCAATCATCATGAAAAGAATGTAAAACACAGTGGAAGAATCCGAAAATAGTAGGCAAAAATCATATAAAATTTCTTATTTTCAAAATCAGTAACTCGGTTTGAAGACTAAGTATTGTTCTGATCTTAAATGAATAATCTACATTCTTAAGTAAATTAAGTGCTTTCGGGGACGAAGCACTCTTTTAAGAAGGGTAGAATGTGACACTCCTTAAAAAAAAAAAAAAAAAAAAACCATTTAATATTAACTAAGATGTAATATCTGCTAATTGTACATGTGGATATTTTCTTAGCTTATGCTTCGGGACGAAGCATCTTATAAGGAGGGTAGAATGTGACACCCCGAAAATTTAAATAAAATAAATAAATTTATTAGTCAGATAGAATGTTACGAAAGTCACATTTTAATAATTAAGCGAATGAGATAAAATTTTAACATCGGTGACATTTTTTTAATAAGATAAAAATGTTTCAATAAAAAAGTGACATTTTTACAATAATTATGTTGACCAGAAAAGACCTTGACTTAAATAACGAAAGTTACATTTTTTTTGTAACAAGTGATACATTATACTTATGATATAAATAAATAAAAATGTCATTTTAACAATTGTAATTCAAAACTATCTGTTAATAATAGGTGTTCAAAAATAAAAATGAGTTGGCTTTTCAAAAAAAATATACTTTCGTACATGCATGCTCATAGATAAATATATACATAATAATAAAAGAATTGATAATATACAAATGTAAATGTAGTACGTACTACATGTGACCTGCCTACGATTGTGATATACTACTACACAATAATATAGGTATCATGTATCTTATTTCATACAATGAATCTGGAGAGTGCGAGTATACATATTCATTATTCACATAGGGCCTGATACACATACGAACAACCAACAATGATAGATCACTAATCGGAAGAGGCCAAAGATATACAAATGATAAAGGAAGCTAGCTACGTGTACATGTGTGCACCAAGAGAAAACCAACAATTTGCACACTCATATATACATACTCATATTTACATAATCATTTATATATACATATATATTACCCTGCAAAACTATAATCAGACAACTATACTCTGCGACCTACTATCTTCGCCCAGAGGAATTCGCCAGAGAAGAGTCAGCCGTGCCCAGCACCCACGTATCATCGGAGAAGAGAATACGAAGTCGCCAGAGTCGCTGCCGGCCAAGTTGGAGTATTCCACGCCGGACTGGTTTCCCTGTTTCACGCCAGGATCCCCACCGAGACTGGCGCTAAGGCTAAGCTGTAAAGTCCAAGGAAAGAGGAACCGCCGCCGGGAAAGACTACTGAGACGCACTGTTCTTCATTACCGCCTCACTGGAGTGGAGGATCCGCTGGAACGCTGCCGTCGCCGCCAGAAGGAAAAAGGTCGTTGGCCATCTTCAGTCGCCGATGAAGCTGCGTTACGCTGATGACTCTTTCCTCAGCGTCAATACAATCGAAGAAGAGGAGCCGATGAAGTGACTGCACTGCCGGGTCATCTTCGCCGGCCTAACTTGCAGTTGACGTTGAGAGCAGAGCGTCCAGAGTAAACGATGTTGCAGCAAGCACCGCACATTCCCTGCTGTTTCGCCGCGACTGTTGCCGTTCGCCGGCAGCTGGGAGCCGATTCACCGAAGAAGACGAGTGAGTCTTCTCTGTTGTCTTTCCGTATTATGTAATACCCTTACTGTTATTAAGTTGGACCGGCTAATAGAACGGAAAGAATTACATTAGTAGGAGAAAATGATTTAAGTGGGCTTAAAATAAAATAAGCAGATAAAATAGATTGACTGTGCATAAATTTATAAATGGTTATAACTTATAAGTGGACAAGCTATAAATTATAAAATGGACTTGTTTACATAAACGGACTGGCTAATAGAAATAGACATAATTTATAAAATAGATTAAATGATGTAAAAAGGATGTTTATGGATGAACTAATTGAGTTGGGTGAATACAAGTGAGTAATCGTGAGAGAGTTCAATTTTAAACTGGATAATAGTTAGCAAAGGATTAATATAGCTATTAATTCTAGAATTTTAATATTCTAGAAGGTAACTTGGAGAAGATCAAAGTAGAAGCCCGTTTATGAATATCACGATTCGAGGTAAGTACTATGTCAACCAAGTTTCATGCTTTTCCCATATAAATTTATTTGTGACTAGTTATTTGAGATCATTTGAGTATATGATAGTTAATGAGATTTTACGTATCAATTGTGATTGTGAATTATATATATTCGAGATTTGAGTATTTTTATATTGAGTGATATTTTGAGCATTTGAATTTACATATGAATTGTTATTGGATTGAGATTTGAGATTTGAGCTATTCATGAAGTATCCTATATTTTGGACTATTTATGTAATATTTGAGTATGATGAGTTGGAGTTAATAATTTCATTGTGAATAATTTTGTGGAATTTGGATTTCATATCCATTTTGATTTATGTTATGATACTTGAAATTGAGATTGGATTATGATTTTTTGTGAGTACTCGGAGAAATGTGGATTTGGTGAGTGGTAATGACTATAAGTCTAATTCCACCAGGGATCTCCCAAAAGTGGAGCATCCCAGCTTAATTGTAGTAGTTGGTAGAAAAATCCCGACTACTCGGACTTTTTACTACCCGGAGAGCTTGGAATCTCTTTTAGGGGGTGTGCACACTTAAGGTAGGAGTTCGGCTTCCATTGGATTTGGTTGAGTTTGAATGATTGGACTTGAGATGATTTGGATTATTTGGTTGGACTTGATGGAGATGAATTGAACTACATTATATTGGATTATTTGAGTAGGTTATATTTGTTTGGATTGGATTGAATTTGATGTGGTTGAGATTATTAAATTATTTGTAGATTTTCAAAGTAATACTTATTAATTTGATTTGATATGGTTATTTTGAATATTGATTATGAGTATTTGGAAGTATTTTGAGATGAATATTTGGGCTTTACATATGATTTATGTTTTGGAATATAATTACGAGGATTTTGGTGGTTTATGTATATTGACCTTTTAAAATTATTATGATTTGGAAATATGTACCTATATTTGAAATATTATTATTTTTCATGTGATTTTGTGATGAGAAGTTTGTATAAAATGTTTCATGAGGTTTCCTCCCAAATGTTTTTACAAAATGATATATATGTATCAAACATGATTATTTTACAGGGTTGGGTGGGCCTTACTTAGCATTTCCGGCTAATTTTTGTTTCTTTGTGTTTTTCTTTCTGTACTTTATTTGTGCAGGAATTGAGGATCATGTTGAAGTTGATTTCGAGAGCTTCCGCTAGAACACATAGACTAAATTGATTGAATAATTTATTTTAGTCTTAATTTTAAAGAATTGTAGTTGAACAATTAATTTTGGAAAATCTTAATTGGTTGGTGGTGGATAGCCTGTGCACTCGGTTATATGAGAACCGAGTGTGGCGGTAACGCCCTGTTTCCCTTTGAATTTTCCGCTGCAAGACTCTGATGTTTTCGAATAAACCATTATTCAAATGTATTTTTGGGTGGGAAATTTGGGGGTGTTACAACTTTTAAGTCCTAGGGTCCTCCACCGAAATATGAGTGTTAAGGACTTTTAAGTCCTAGGGTCCTCCACCAAAATATGAGTGTTAAGGACTTTTAAGTCCTAGGGTCCTCCACCAAATTATGAGTGTTAAGGACTTTTAAGTCCTAGGGTCCTCCACCAAATTATTTTCCTATGATCAACCTCCTATCAACCTAGATAGAGTCCATATCATATCTATTCATTCATAGCTAAATCAATACATAAAGCTTATGTATCACAATCCATGCAAAGCCATGCATTTATATAAACTTGTAATTAACTAATACCAACCGGTATTAATTAATCCATTATTCATCGGTCAACGTTTTTGTTGACCGCCATATCAAGCCTTGTACATATCAACTTAATCATCATATAACTAAGTTAATAATATTCATTTGTGCTTCTTTTACACCTCAAGCAAATATGCATTTTATATAATTCCTCATATCATATTTCATGCATAACAATTAATTCCTTTCGTACAACTTAACCATGTTGGCTAATCACATGTTTAAATATCTTTTAAACATCATTATGAACACATATAACATTTATTTAGGTAATCTCATAATTAAACCAAAAGTTATAAGATATTAAGCCGTCCACTCACCTCGAATTAGCGTTATGAAGTTCTACACCTCTTGGTTGAACTCCGGCGAAACTCCGGTGACTTTTGAAGAACTCCGGCGACAACTCCGGCGAATCTTTCAACCTTGTGAAATCACTTAAAATACCCTTTACAAGTGCCTAACAAGGTTTTATAATCATAAAACCCATATTAATACAAATAACCTCTAAAAGGTTATTTTCCGGTGAACCGGTCGTTTTGGCTTCTAAGTCCGTTTTTGGACGTAGAACCACCTTCCAACCCATGAATCCATACTTATAACGTATGGAACCATACTAAAGGTTCTTCATATGATATATACGTCATATGGTAGAAGAAAAATGTTGGTCCCGGTTAATGAGGTAACAGTTTAGAGGGGGGGGGGGGTGAATAGACTGTTATGGTTTTTAACTTTTTCAAGTCAAGTACCAAGGTAAACAGAATAGCATGTTCTGTTGAGAACAGACTGGCAGCGGAGGTCTTCTGGTAGGTGTTCTGTCGGGATAGCCTCACAGAGGAGTAAAGGCACTTGGCCTTCTGTTAACTCACAAGAGGTGTTCTGCTGAACACAAATACCACTTCTTTGGAGTTAATCAGTTTGCAAGTAATAAAAGCAGTAAGTAAATGACACCAGGGATTTTTATAGTGGTTCAAGGAACAACTCGTTCCTCTAATCCACTGTTCCACTAAGCTTGTAAAACAACGGTTACAACGCCTTAGTCCCTAGAACTCAAGAAGCTCTCCACGTCTTCTTCAAGTCTAGATGTCTCCTGGGATTCACTTCCTTGCTTCCTTTAAGACTGGTCTTGTTTCACTGAGTCTCCTTGAAGTATCTCCACTTCACTACTCGAGCTACTTTAAGACGTCCTTCTTTGCAGAAGATGTTCTCTTGAAAACAGAGTTTTCTCCAACTTGCTTCGTCACAAAAGATTTGTAATAAGGTGCTTGAAGAGTTGAAGAACAATAGGAACTTTGCCCTGGTTGGTGATGAAGAATATATGAACTTATGATCTTCCCAACTTATGAAGGCTTTTTGTAGTTAGAGCACAAGATGTGGCAAAAGTTGCCTGGTTGTTCTTCGAGTAGTATCTTTTATACTGAGGTTGTCTGCCCGTTAGAGAAGGAGACAACTGCATTGAATGCGCGTACTGTTTGAGTTGACCGGCTGGACCCGCAAGTTTGGCGGCTTGCTATTTTGGGATAGGCTTTCCAGGAATCTCGGTCAATCATCAGCTTTTACTCTTCGGAGTATGGAGCTCATTAAATGAGCATTAAATGCTGTCCTGTAGCATTTCCGTTGAGGGAATCTTCCGTTGAAGTACTTGGTTGATCTAGTTGTCAAAACTTCTAAGTGTCTGATCTTCTGTTGGTTTTCAGAGGGTCAGAACACAGAGGGTCTCGAGCTCTTCTGACTATAGGAAGTCCAACAGAATACCATAGGTACTCCTGTCAAGTAACCAGCCAATAGAGGGCCAAGAGATCTTCTGTCCAGACTGCCATAAGCACTTCTGAGAGGTAAACAGCTAACAGAGGACCTGAGGGTCTTCTGTCTGTCGACTATTCTAAAATGCTTACACTTAAAAAAAATTCTAATACATCAAATCTAAATGGGGGTACTTTAAAGTTCTAATTAATCTAGCATCATCAAAATCTAAATACATTTATTCCTTACAAAAAATAAAGGAAAAGTTAATATAAGGTCATTACCTTAATTGTCACACTTTTCCCAACTTTTTCCCTCTTTAATCTTCTTCCTTTGAGTACTAAAGCTTGAGCTCTAATTTGCAGCAATGGAGGTGAGTTTGAATCTCCTTCTCTCTCCCTTGGATGGCCTGGCCGAGCTAATGGGGTGAGGGGGGATGGAGTTGGCTCTTTTGTCTTGCTTGGACAATGAGCGAGGGAGAATGGGGTCTATGGGTGTACCTTTGATGCTCATCACCTCACCCTCTCCTCTTACAAGTCAACTAGCCCATATCCTTGCCTATACCAGCTCACAAAAATGTGAGGTGGCCCCCACTCATGTGGGAGGTCATCCCTTTGTGTCCCAAAATGTACATTCGGCCCCGAAAGTTGTATTTTTCGGACTGTTTTAAATATATTTTATTTTATCGGGTAAAATAAAATATATTATGTGCTCTCAATCATAATGCCCTTTTGAAATAATATATATTCCAAAACTTTAATTTAGAATTCTCCGAGATTCATTTTCGGGTTGTGATCTAATAAATTGTCGGTAGCGGTAATTGGCCCTCTTTTGACCAATCGGTCAACCCCAGGCCTTCCCATGGTCCAAATAAGATATCCACCACTATATAAATATTATTTCGACCCATAAGAATAATTTATGTGATCTCGGGAATATCGGGCGGCCTCCGCTCCCGGTGTGGGCCCCACGGGCAAATTTACTATTCATGCGAAAGAATTAATAAAAATTTACAACTTCGCAAATTCATTAACCAATCCATAAGGTTCAAAACATTATTTACGTAAAAGTAAATACATTTGGGGACGGTGTTACACACACCACTTTCTTTCATGACATTTCTAATATATTGCCGGACTACATTATTAGCAATATCTCTTGCATTGTGAATCACTTTTCCAATCACAAGGACACTATGGTTTGGACCCTTACTCCCGATGGCTCCTACTCTTTTAACAGTGTCTATGATGAACTAAGACCCAAAACGGCCAAAAGACACACTGACATCCTTGCTAGTCATATTTGGAAGAGTAATATTCCTACTAAAATCTCTTTTTTCATGTGGAAGGTCATTAATAAATTGCAACCTTTTCAAGAAAAACTCCAACTCTTAGGTACTTATGGTCCCTTTAAATGCCCTTTTTGCAACAACGATGATACCCTTGATCATTGTTACATTGACTGTGAGTTTAGCAACAAGCTGTGGATGCACTACACTAGTCTCTTTCAAATTGGTTCTCATAACATGGACACTTTAAATAGTGTGTTAAAAAATGGTTCACAGCCCCTGACGAGTTTTTCAACCTTAAAACCGTGGTTGCAATTTTTATTTGCTGGACCATTTGGAAGAGGAGAAATGCTTACATATATGATGAAAAAATTCTTCCTATTTCTGAGGCTATTAAAAATAGGAAAAATTGAAAACAATAATCCCAACTATTTCTGGTCCGCTGAAAATAATCCCAACTATTGATTATTTTTGTATAATCCCAACTATATAGACTATCCGCCAATAATGGTCCATGACCATATATTACCTCTATAAAAAGTGAATTTTAAATAGAAATTAAGCGTAAAAATTAAAAGTTGAGATTATTTATAGGGATTACTTGTTATATATCATCTCATCCACTTTAGAAACTACAAGAATTTATTCATAGGGACCATTATTGGCGGAAGGTCCCTAAAGTTGGGATTATTCTGTAATAATCAATAGTTGGGATTATTATGAGCGGACCGCCAATAGTTGGGATTATTACTATCAATTTTTCCTTAAAAATATTAATAAGGAAATTCGGGATGTAAGTATAGCCAGACCTTTTACCACTACTCACACCAATCCTCCCTTGGAGGACATTGTGTATGCTCCTCCTCAGGTTAAACCTGTAAAGCACAATACTCATGTTGCCTGTTGGAATAACCCCCCTGCTAACTTCATTAAAATCAACATTGCCATTGGCAATTTTCGGGGTGGAGATATTATCTCGGGTATTATTATCCGGAATGACCAGGGCCGACCTATTCACATCAATTCCCATACACATATTAATAAGGTCTATACAGCTAATGTTTGTGATATTTTGATCAACATTAGGAATTCTCTTATTGACAAAAACCACACTAATATCATAATTGAATGTGATAATTCACAGGTAATCAAGACTTTGAAAGGGGTGGCTAGACCCTCGTGGAAAGCGGTTTCCAATCTGTTTGCCTTTAAAGAGAAGTTTCTCACGGATAACATCCACTTTGATCATATTAAGAAAAATTGTAATCATGCTGCTAAATTTGTTGCTATTAAAGCCAATCAGTTTGATAACAACCCGAACAGTTATCGCAAATTTGTAGGCATCGTCAAACTTGATGCAATTAGTTTCCCGTATGTCTTTTGATTCGGTAGGTTTTGGTTCTTGTCCCCCTACTTGTACCTTTTTCCATATAAGAAATTGGTGGTGTGTTTAAAAAAAAAGGTTGATGAATACTTGAATTGTAGCGTATGCACTCGATTAAGATGAATATATTAATACAATTTAAATTTAAGAATTTATGCGAATCTCTTAGGAAACGGTCACTTCTCTCTCTAGGAAATAAGCTCTCACCAATCTCTTAGATTATTCGCAGCTCTGGTTCCCCTCCCATGGGGGAGCCCCCTCCGCCTCTGTCTTGGGCATCGGTGGTTTCCGGTCCGTCCAGGAAAAAGCCGCACCCGAAGGACGATCCATCTCTGCAATTAATCGTTGGAAAACATAAGGGATGCATTTCTGTCAAAATCCCTAGAGCTCGGTCTGATTTGCTGGCTGCAGACCTTCAATACTCTCTTGTCGGAACTCTCATTAAGGGTCGGCCTACACTGAACTCCATCCGTAAGGTGTTCGAAGCCCTTAATTTTAAATCCTTTACTGTTGGTCTTTTATATAAAAATGAAATTATCATCACTTTCTCGGATAAAAACGAGTATATTCGATGTAGAACCAGACAACCCTGGATTATTCATGGATTTACAATGAAGGTCTCTAGATGGTATCCTGGATACCATCCCGATAGAGAATCTTCTTTTGTTCCCTGTTGGATTCAATTCCCCCACCCCCCTTTTCACTTATT